AGAATAATTTCGTGTTTTTAAAAAAAGAATAGTAGTATAATTGAATGTCTATACAGAAGCTTCTGAGATTTATTACAATCTCTGAAATAGAAGTGTTCGACTTCAACTTTATGAATTAAAATTATGAGTCTTTGAAAGAACGCGAAAGATGTAAATTCAGATAATTTTATTTCCTCCTCATTAACTCTCAATTCTTCATTCGTATCTCACGTACTAATCAAACTCTGGTATAATTTAATTCGATCCGGTCTTCCCTTAATGATGATCTTTGTATTGCTGGACCGTCCGAGAAGAATTGTGGCTCGCTTGTATAACGTCGGTCAAATCGAAACGAACAATTGTTTCTGCTTTCTCGGTTTGCAAAGTACTTGCTCCAGTGAACGAGCGTAATGGGTGGAAATACGGAGAAAGATGGAACGCAATTGCCAGTAGGAAGAGATCTTTGATACGCGCTCTTTGCCAGCTACCAGAGAAAGTAAAACTAAAAGGAATTTTATTTCACGCAATGTACTAGCGCCGTCGTCAGACAATTTGAATGAATAATTCTTAGTAGAACGTTAATTTAAATTAGTTTCACAGCGGCGGCAAATAAAAATTATCCATTGCAACACCACTCGTTGTATTAATACGCTTGTTCGGTTCTGTGAATGAATATTCCAAGATCCTGTTAACTGGCAATTAAAAAAGATTTTCACGGGACGTTTCGTTTTATAATAAATCGTGTTCTTAATAGGAGGAGTTCATTTTCCTAGTATAGATGACAGAACACTTGAAACACACGTAATCAGTGTGTGTAATCAACTTTGCGCTTTCAGCTTGCATTACTGTTATTCAACTTGTTGATTTCAATTTCGATAAATCCACTGTTTGTAAAATGGTCTGGTAAATCCGGTCGGAACTTACGTAAAAAAAAAAAAAAAATGACATGGACAGTGGAAGAATTAAACGGGTGACGCGCTTTGCACATTATAACTGGTTTGCACGCTCGTAATTGGATTTGTCCACATTTGTTGATACTTCCATTACTAATTAATCATGGATTCCATTCGATCAACTCGGTTCTTTGTTCGGGTAAATCGCAGCTAATAACTAATATATTTTTATCAATGTAATGTCGGGAAATAAAAAATTGGAAGATCGTTTTTCGATCGCGAACTGATTTGTCAAGTTATTAATTGCGTGAATAATTTTAAATAAAATTAATTACTAGAATTTACTTTATCAAGAATGCAAAAGTGACTTTACTTAGAATTTGCAAGTTGCTGGTTTGACAATTACCCATTACGAAATTTATTTTCATTCAGTGATGGAGAAAATGTCAAACAATTAATAGTATATTGAATATTTAATAACAAATTACATAAGTTACAATTAACTGCGTTATGCACAATGATACTGTACAGTGAATACGCTGCATTACTTATTCATGTAGCGCATTCATAGGATGGGAAGCGAATAAAATATGAATGAATTAATTATTTTATCGTTTAGTATTATCTTTAGATTTCGCAGAATAATATAATTGCTAAAAATAATATCCGCACTCTGCAGTGTTCATTTAACAATTCTCGCCGTAATAAACAGTAAATAAAATCGAGGCTTTAACTTTAACCTATGCCAGATAATTCACCTATTGTTTCACATAACAAATACAAAATTGACTTTTTATTCATGTAATCTTTTATTCAATGTATCGCGAGAGCGTCTGGCGAAAAAGCGTACAGAAGGTTTATTGATAACGAGATTTCTTTCTTCAGAATGCATTGCGTTGGAACGTATTATACGTATATAAATTATAGCTGTTATTTTTTTCTCCGATTAAACGATTGAAAAACTAATGATTAATATTTTCAATGACCAAAAATATTCTAGAAAGCGGTGTCTGATAAGTTCGCAAAACGATTTGCCTTGGAATTATACTTCTCGACTTCTTCCAATGCTGCTTATAAACTGTCGCCATTAAAAAGTTACAAAACTAAACTCTTCTCACGGGGGAAATATAATACAAATGCGTTAACTATTTTTCTGCAACCGTTCATTTTCATAAAAATTATTTGCTTCAATTCATTGAGTACAGTTCTTCGAATTTAGTACGTAAAAAGATAAATGTCATAAAACAATTTAATTCTGTTCAATAATACAATTAGGTACGATATGAGCGTCGATGTACAGAACGTCGATAAATAATTTATTGCTTAAAACAGAAATTCCTACTAATTCCTAAATTCAAGTTTTATAGCTGTATTATACGATTAAGCTCATTCGATAAATCCGATAGTACTTAACATTGTAAGAGAAATGCCATTTATTACAATTTGATAGCCATTACACGTGCGACACTACGATTTTGTAAAGGTGAATAGATCATGTTTATAATCCTTTTATCCCATTGCCTCATTTAATCATTTATGGTAAATTTTCTCAAGACAGATAATGAAATATGTCTAAAACTATTAAAAAATTATTTACAACTATGAGATATTATTATTTCTCTCAGTGAAATATTGTTTTCTGTAATCGCCTTACTTTCTGGTGGTTCGATTCAAATCTTATTACTGGCGATAATTCGATGTATGAAAAATATGATAGGGAACGGGTTTTACTTACCGAAGGCTCAAAAGTATCTCCTGCGGGCTCAATAACGTTATCACAGTCGATATAATATCGATTTGTAATAGGTATCTATATAATCTAGTCTCTCGCCGTTCTCCCACGTCGAAAATTCAAGAAAGGAGCCGATATCTGATTAAATATGAATTGGTTTAGAAAAGAAAAACGCGGCATTCTCGAATATAATATCTTTTTCATTCAGCCGATCATTTGTAATTGAAACGTGGCCTGGTGCGAAAAGAAGGACGACTTATAACAGCTGCTCTTTTATTTTTTATGAAACAACGATCGAGCTATTGTGATAAACAATTTTTTAAGATATGATGCGAAGCGCTCGATTAATAAAGGCAAGCTTGAACGCAGCTCTCGAGCTTTATTATCGAATCGAGGGGTATTTTATTCTAACGAGCTAATCTACCTCTCGGCGCTGACGTAAATCACGTGTATAACGATTTTCACAAATGAGAAACTCGCGAACGTAAATTAATGATTTCTTTTTTTTTTCTCTGTCAGCTTTAAAATTGTGTTTGTGAACTCTTTCGATAAAGGGCTACGTCAAAAATGTATTCATTCCACTTCGAATCTATACGAGTTGTCAAACTCCCAGATTGAAAAATAGTTGAAACAACCGCAACGTGTTTAATTGAACTTTTAATAAAGTTGCCAACTTGTTCTTACGTATAACAAAATGTTAATCGCTTAATTTCGAGGCAACCCTTTAGGAACGGTCTACATCATAATAATCGACTTTGAAAACTTAATCTAGTATTACCAACGTTGAAACCACCGTTATGGGATCGAAAGAGTGGCTTAATGTCTAATAAGATAGTAAAGTTTTCTGCATGAAATTACAAGACAGCTATTAGGCACATTAGATATTAATTTATCAATGTCTGGATTCCAGCGAATAACGTGATCTTTTTTTAATTCTTGAAAATCGTGATGAGAAGTCGGAGTATTAAATGTCATTCTGATTCCAAGTAGCTTGTCAACTCTTGAACACGTAGTTAGTTCATTAACAATTGTTACCTACCTGATCTTAAGGATCTATAACGTGAAACCATTGTTCTGAGCAGGTGCATTATAATCCGAACTTCCTTTACACTTCACCTTTAATTGGACGAATCTTGTATACTTTATTACAATGAACAGAGATTTCGTGTCTCGGTAGATCAGAAATGTCAATTAAATCAATTTATTGATCATAACAACACAGTGTTTCGCGTAATAGTCACGTATCAATTAAAGTAACGCGACATTTAATTAAAAAAGGTGAAAATACTTGATATATTTTTATATTTCGAGTGTTTCGTTTTCCAGTTACGAAGGTATAGTCAATTTCATTTTATAGAAAGCATTTTTCATAAATTTTAAGTTAATATATTGAAAATCGCTGCAGGTAAATGTGTTCGACATTTTTTATCAATTAGTCTGGCATAAACTTGCAAACAGGTAATTAAAACCGGCGCACGGAATACAGAATATGAATAAACAGGTACGAACGGTATAAATTGCTATAATAACAACGACGATTAAATTACTCATCCGATCTTACTCAGCCATTCTATTCCTCTCGTATTTCATATTATTACCTGACACTTTAGTATCTAAACAGTAAGCGTCCTAATGACGATACTTTTTTCTCAGCTTAAATCTGTTGAATATTCATACATTTTCAAGAATCACCTTCAAGGGTCATTCCGAATATAAAGCGAGGAAGAGACCTCTTAATAAATTAGATTTCTAGGACGAAGGTTGAATATCGTTAAAGAAAAATCACCAGCTTCTTCGATAGATTTAAATACTTTCCAAATACTTCAAAAGGAAATCATTTCCACCGATCAATCTGTATTATTTTCCTCACAAGGACACCGGAAACAATTCCTCGATTACTTCGGCGGAAGTTGGGTAATTTCGGAAATCTGAAACAAGGGAACGCACTCCTGTTATGTAATAACTAGAACAATCCCTAGATGCATCCCTTGACAAATACTTGATACATCCACGAGTTCGTTATCACCTGTTATTTAGCACCCTCGTTGTTTCATTGATTACAGGCCGGGGCTCGATTGAGAGATTAATAAACAGCGCGTGGCGCTTTTTGAAATGAATTGCGTAACGAATGTACCGTCAAAAATCGTTTTTCTTCGTTTCATAAGCGTTTCACTAGGCGAACTGTTCGACTGAACATTATATAAATTCCCTTGCACTATTTAAAGACAGCGTTCGAAACGTTTAAGTACCTGACTCGAGTTATTGGTAAATAGGAACTGTTTGTTTGTAACATGAAAAAACGAAAAATTATTTTTCTACACTGTTTGCTTTGATGTTGAACAAAACGTATTGAGAGAGTCATGTTTCTCTACTAAATAGAGATCTAGACGCGCGAAGAACGAAGTCCCCTCTCTCTCTCTCTCTCTCTAACGAAGTAGATCCGAACGTCAAGAAAAGTGTGGGAGAAGAAAGTGAAAAGTAAGGGTAAACTCGCCAATTTTTAGAGCAAACTTGATCTTTAAATGGAATTCGTTTGCAGAGAGATCTCGGTTTAAATGGGAAGTGTAAGTAGCAAAGTGGATGCTTCGCCTGTATGATTTTCGGATTAATGAAATATCGACGTAACATTTGGAATATTCCTTCCTATAATATTTCTGTTATCTGTTTCATTAAATCAAATGAACAGAAATCAAACTGCGTACCTGCGTTATTTGTAGATGTTTCAAACGGAGCTGGCGTATCAAAAATATCATATGAAATACTTCGACATAATGCCAACACCTACGAGTGCTCTTTTATTGTCACTTGTATGGCTGTAATTATGATTCTATATTTAGAAATTAATAATTTGAAAGTAATGTACATGTGGTACCTCAAAGAGTATTTAATATCCCGATGCCTATATCGCATTGATATTATATTATCAAAATTGTTTGCGATAACCGGTTTACGCATCGCTCATCGGGGTGAAAATTAAATATTTACGGATATCGTAAAGTTCAATACGCACGGAGGCAACAACAGTTACTGAGTAACGCACCTACATTCACCAGTTGAAATAATATAATTAGCAACTGTATAAGTAATGCAATTACGTATAATGGAATTTATTTATTTTAAATTCGTAACTAGCTTAGACTCTAGAAAGGGGTAATGGTATTCAGTGTAAAATAAAGCACATTAGAATTACTTAGCTGACAAGACTAACCAACGATTCACTAAAAGCACCATTAAGTAGTAATAATTTTCTCGTTAATGTTCTTCCTTACAAACGTAACATTAATTAATGGATTTCACTTAATGCACATTTTGTAAGGATTATAAGATACTTCACCTGATATTTTCATTACTAGATACTATATCCACTGGTGTGGTACCGTAAGATATTTTATTATTGGAGATGTTCATTTTTAAATGTTAAAAACGATATCGCAAGGTAAAATTTTTTTCATTTTGTAAATCTGGAGCTATGTAATACAATATTTTCCTTTGTAGAAAAGTTTGATAGAAATCTATGAAGGACACGTGCGTGGTCGGGACGTTATCGGAAATTTAATAGATTACGTAAACGCGTGTGGGAAATCAAAGAAAGGATAATGAAATAATCCTCTTTTCGTTGTTACAATTTTGATTATCTTTGCACCAGAAGGATGAATAAAAAAAAAAATCGGATGAGAAATATTAGATTCGTCGTTACGTTGCGCTTTAAATGCAAACGGCATTCGTATCTAGACGAACCGGCTTTTATTAAATCAGTCGATCCCGGAAATAACGTCGTTTCTATCTACAACGAGGTCGGCCAAGTTGATGCGCCTTTACCGTACCTCCTTGTGAAACGATGATGTTTTGCCCAGACTAGCGCGTCGACATCGTCCAGATCGCGTTTAAAGTCAACTATGAACCGTTTTGCGTTATCTCTCTGACATTTTTCAGTGCACAATTATTTTTGGATACCAGATTTAAAGGAACATCTCCTTAATGTCACGAATTCGCTTGAAATCGTTTTTCGACGTAGGAAATTGAATTTGTTAATTTTATAGGAATGTACAAAATCATTTAAGATACGACAAATCGATTCAAGCATTCTGTGCTCTGAACGAAAAATCATTATCGAAAATTACAGGCTGCATCCGCGCACATGAGACTGCATTAAAATCGAACGTCAACAATCGTCAGCAAACACGTCGCTTAACAGTACAGCAAATAAAGGTTACCGCAGGGTAAATTAAAATAATGATAAAAATGGTTACAACGTGTCACGCGCGCTTTCGCCGCATTCGAAGATAATCAAATCGTGCGATCTGCAGAGCTTCGTGACTTCCGATAGTGATTGCTACCAAATAGTCCGTAGGCGTGCGAGCATTTCAAATTTATATACAAGGTAAAACGCGGTGTCGACCACAAACGTTTCTATTTTTCTGATCCCGAACAAAAAGCGAATACTTCTGTGGCGTAGCTCTGAAAGCTCGTCGAAACCAGCTGTGAAAAACTGTCAACCTTCCAATTGCGTCTGTCTATATGATTCTCACTTTCAATTTTCGCGAATCCGTCAATCGGGACATCGTCAAAAATGCAGAGCAATCAATCATTTTACGTATCGAAAATAGTTGAAATCTTTGTACGAAAGATTTTTCGTAACGAGGCACTGGTTCCCTTTAAAAGCTGCTTTCGAAGCTTTTAAAGCGTGCAAACGGGAAGCAAGCTTAAAACCGTTGATCGATTAAAACCAGCTTTAAGATAATAATTGAGAGAATAAGTTCGAGTTCTCGTTTCGCTTCGTCCTCGTCTCTTCGCTCTTTTCTTCCTGTTTTTTTGTCCGCCTATTTCTTCTGCTGATCACGCGCGACCAATACCGCCTCATAGCCCCGCGTGTTTCAGTTTTCTATCACGCGCGACGCATTCTCTTTTCCTTTTCTCCTTTTTCCTTCACCGTCGCGCTCGATTTGTGCCACACTGTCTCGAGATTCGATTGATTCGCGTCCCGTACGATTTAAAATTATTTAAACACTCCGCGCCTCTTTTCACGCCTCGTGCGCAACAGTTTTTTATTCCTGAATAGAGGGCAAACGATGCCCGACATTTATAACGAATGGACGACTCTGTGTTCCTGTTTTATTTCCAGCATTACATTTTACCAATAAAGTGTTAAATTGCAATACGCATTTTACATTGAAAAAACATCTTATTCACGTTTCAAACGTCAATTTTAATAATAACTCAACTAAAAGATAGGTATGTGTATAGAAAGACACATACAGTGGGCAAAAGTTCATAAAGTCAATTGCAAAATGTATACTATTACGTTCAAAAGATTAAAGCACATGATTAGTCTGTCTAATTTTTTAAAATGATAATCTAAAGTTTTACTTTGCATAAAAAAATCCGCAGGTTCTTCTAAAGATGTTGCCTAATTAAAATTCCTTCCCCTGAAAATGTCCTTTTGCATAAACGTATGTACACGAGTTATACATCGTTACTTTTTACTTTATAAATTTCAAAACGATGCTTGCTGCACTTTTTAACCGTTTCGGGTTGCAAATCCTCCTTCCTGGTCCATTAAAACCGCTAGTTCTTTTTGTTTACTATGAATTATTAATGACAATGATGAGTTTGAAAGTAAAATTAGGTTCCACGATTCCGTTAGGAATAGAAATTTCTGTTTTATTAAGTTCTCTCAACGAATGAGAGCCCTTGCTGGTGGAGAGCTTGCACGATATTAAAAACTAGGAGCTATAACAGGTGCTTTGCCAAAACGGTAAAAGGTGGTCGAGTATTTTCAAATCGAGCAGTAATTGAACAGAATAGGCCGTTAAGAGGCTCAGAAATATCGATACAATGTTCTCTATTCTGAAGTGGATTGAGTTTGCCCGATCTCTACCCACTGTATCTACTAACTCCGCTCACTGCCGTAATAATCTCATCGTGAATATTGCACGATCGTCTCAAAATATGGAACAACTTAATAAAATATGTTTTTAAAAAGTGCGAAACTTTCACTACATTGATTATTATTTATTATACTATTTAATTATGCAAAACGATATACTTATTATACTTTCTTTTGTAGGTGGTTGCTCCGCGTTTGGACACTCATGTTACGGCGGCCACGGCAAGAGATTCGATCCCCAAGTACGAGACAATGTATTTAAGGGAAACGATTTGGCTCTCAGCAACAGAAACCGGGGAATTGATACTCTGTGGTTGAACAACGATCTTGCCGTACCTGAACAGAAAGTCGAAGGGCAACCGGAAATGATTCTACAGGAAACGCGTCGTCTGGACACCTCCAAGTTGGACAATTCCGCGATGGCCTACATCATGCGATTATGGGTACATTCCAATTCTTAGGCTACCAAGTTTTTAGATATTCGAACGCTCAATCGTATTTGTTAAAAAATTAATGTATGAAGATTAAAACTCTGGATTGCAGTTAGTTTTAATTGTGTAATTTTTTAGATTTTTAAAACTGTTATAAAAAAAACGTTTAAAAAAAAGTTTACGTACATTTGCGTCCGAAAATGTTGTATGTTATTATACATAACAATCTATATTAATTGTTTTGGTAATGAAGACTGGTCCTGATAATTGAGTCGAGTAGCGAATACTTCAACAACTTACTATGTATGTACACCAAAATTTAGTTGAGAAGTATAGTAAAACGATTAATACTAATTAAATTACTCCCTAGTCGACTAAGTTACTGGTCGTGCCTGAGTCAACCCTTACACGTGTTCGAAGTTTACTTTCTGCAAGCATTTATTCGTCGAAGTAGAATTGTCGAGTTCTTTCGAATTGCGATTTAGGAGATCTGTAGTTATCCATTTTAATCGCAAACGAAATGTATTCAATGCAAGAATGTAAATTACTGAAAGTCGAACTTGTTACAACGACTAATAGAAGTTTTGAGAATGTAAATTGGTAAATAATTATCAATGAGAATTATTCGTATCTCTCTCTATGATTCTGCTTTGAGAACAACTACTCCGGAAATTTTAGAACGCTTCTAACTTTTCATGACCCACGCGCAGTGATTTAATATACTAATTAGGAGGAACTTGTAGGAAGTCAGAGGTCTTCTCTAAATAAGCCACGACACTTTCCCGTTTCAAATTTCAGTCGGTCTTTGTTCCAGCATCTCTTTCTTATTCTATTTGAAAACTGGCTGCAAACATAAGTTTTGACGAGATAAGGCGTCTTTGAAGAATAACTTTAATAAACGAAAAAGCTTTCATTTTAAATACATTCCATATAAATACATACAATATTTCTATTATTTTAACTGCAATCCAGAATAATAAATTAATGAAAAACGTACATTTAAATCGAGTAGAGATACACTGTAGAATTGCACAATCCGTTCTTCAATTTTCGAGATCGAAATTCGAGATCAGTTAATCGACGATACTAACAATCAATTTAATGATTTCAGGTGATGTCGCACCAACTTCGTCGTCAACGGGATGCGGAATTTAATAACAAGTAAATGAATAGGCGTTTCTATTACACTTAATTTCCAATTAAACAAGAAATATGTGTAAATTATGATTGAAAATGTTAACATCTTCGAGTCTGTTATCGTAATACTATTATTTCAAAGGAACTGTAAACATTTCAAACGTGTAATATATCGTGATAAATTGCAGACCACTTCCTTATCTTATTTTACCATTTAATCTTATTTTGTTAAAGAGGTGTTCTCCTTTGTACGCGTCGTTGTTAGACGATTTTCGGAGACGAAGGGCAGTGAGTATTTTCGCAGAATTAAAGGACGATGCCTCATAAATTCTCAATCTATTGTCTCTACATTCTCGATTAGTATTATTTTATTATAATAAATTAAGGAAATGTTAAGAAATAAATAATTGATCTATTAGTAATTTAGTAACTGTTGTAACTAAATTAGTAACATTTATTATTAAGTTTTATTATCCATACATCGAACATTGAGATCAATAGTGACGTTCAATTACAGTACAACCTCTTCAATTATACTATGTATTGAAATTTGAATTAAAATGTGTACCTCTTTAGTAGACTCCGAATAAAACATTTATCTGTTGTCAGTTTAAGAAATAAGTATGAATTTCTGTTATCACTGAAATATTCTGATGACTTAATATATTAGTGTAACATTTGATTTGAATATTTAGTGCATAAGTTTAGTGCATCATATTTCTGTATACGATTTCTGATTATATGTTTATACATGATGATTCAAGATTACATGTGATTTCTCATATCGATCCTTGTTAAGTAAAAGACTTAAAATCTTTTCATGCGTATTCGATTGAAGATTTAGATTCGTGGTCCTGTATCTTCATACATGTAAAAAAAGTAGTTCACACTTACATTAAACTTAGACCTATCGTATATGCAATTTATTCGTCCCGATCGCAGCTACTGTTCTCCTGGTAGGATAGTCTGCACAGATGTACTGTACATTCTGTTCTTTGCTAAGTAAACAGTGCGTTTCTTGCATTTCCAATGTGCGTTTGTAAGAATAAGACAACTTGAGGTGATTGCGTAGATTTCGTAATCCATCACGCATGAAATTTGCAAATACAATTGCGATAGTGGGACTTATAATGGACTCAGTCTATAAAGGATTTATACGACAATCATTTTTTTTTTTGCGTAGATTTATGAACCCCTGGTAAAATTCTTAGGAAGTATGTATAGAGAGTTATTTCGTGTAGATTGAATTTAATAAAAGAATTCCTTTGACTTTGCACACAATTCATAAAACAGATACTGAGAATGGAATAAGAATAACGAAGTTTCCTTTTGATGAAAAGTGGTGACACAGAAGGGTCCGAATTTACATTCTTTACATTTGTAATCCTTTTGATCGAGCAGATTCCATACTGGGTTCGAATGATGAGAGAAACATTTTTAAAAAAATTCATTTTTCTTATTGACACAAAAAATTGTCACTGTACGAAAGTCCACAGTGCGGTTTTAATATAAATTCGATTGGTAGATTCAATTAAATGGATGGATTATATCGGTCGCCTGATTGAAAGAAATACGTGATAAATTGTTTGATCCGATATTAAAAAGGTTTTCCCCGATTCAAAAGCCCTTTGAATACTTTCGGCAGACGTTGCATTACAAAGCGTTGACTGTAGCCACACACGATGCGTACAATTCAATCAATTTGAAGCGGGGGAGACGGCTTGAGTGCCTGTTTCGAACTTGTCTCGCTACCCCATTATAGAGACTTAATATTATTATACGCGCAATTTATGGACGACCCAAGCTCACTTTACCAATGTTAAAATTATATTTAAAAAATCGCACGTTTATAATTCAACAACTGCACGTCGTTTGTTCGTCGTTTGTACTCCGGTATGTGCGTCGAACGTACACCAGTTTATTAACGACAAATGACGTGCAAATCGCAAAATAAAACGGACTGATGATAGGCTGCTATGTTGTACCGAAATGGGAAGATCCTACCCTTAATTATAAATGGGAAATTCGCCTAAGCGATCAGCGATCGTCGCGTACATGTTCCCCATTCGTGGTCTTCATGTGAATTAATACTAATTCTGAATAATGAAATAATCAATGCTATTATAATCGGTTTGCGTAATCTGCAAATACATGTTAGAACGTGCTCGCTGTTTCGGTATTTAGGGTTCTTTTTCAAGATATCATCGCTAAAAGTGAGTTTCATTTCAATTTAAAGCTGGCACTACACTCTCGGCGAGATGACCCGGGAACAGGCGTATAGGAAAATGTAGAAGGTGCAGTCTCCTACGACCGTGGAATTTTTCGTTTCAACTTCGGTATTTCGAGCTCGGAATTCGATTGTTTGGAATCATATCAAGGGGAAGCAGTGTTGTTAGACCGAAAAATGTTGATCATAAAGACGGAAGAATGATGCGAGGAAGTGTGAATTCTTCTGTATTAAAGGAGACAATTTTTAATTGAGTTCAATTGAAACGAAGTTATTCCATCTGAAATAATCTTAGACTGAATGTTATTGCATTACGTTTTTAATAATTCGGCTAATGAAATACGAAGTCCCATGCCGGAGATATTTCTGATCCACACAAACAATTCACTGATGCATATCCTCCTCCTATTTCTGTCTTCATTACAGGGATAAGTAAGTAAAACTTGTTTTCTCGATTTTAGTAATTCCCCCGATAAGTCACAGCCGAAATTGAATAACTCTTTCAAAGTTAGTTTCAAAGATTGGAGCTTTTTATTAATACTAAAACTAATTACGTATGTAGAAATAATAGAATAGAATTTATTATAAAATATTTATTCAGAATCGACTAAGTGCATGGACCAGCGAGCGTCGTCGCATCGCGTCAGATCAGTAAGCGTCGCGTCGCGTCGCGTCGTCTCGTCGCAACATCAGATGATAGCGTCGCGACGATAGATGGCAGGTAGCATCAGTCCATGAAGGATCGCGGCAATTCGTTTAAACAAATGTCTACACCGATACCGAGGTGTAAAAGAGGCCGGCTTAAAGGGAGTGACCACTGACTTATAGTAGCCACCCCCAGAATTGCTTATTTGTCCACTGGTTAAGAATCGTGAAATAAAAATAGCAAGACTCATTTCTGTTCATTTAGTAATCAAAATCCAATCGATTTTTTCTCTTTATTTCATCGTAACATTCATTAGCACGTACATTGTATTGAAAGACCGACATACTTTACAATATTTTACAAATTGAGATACAGAAAATCTTAAACTAGATTGTAGTTCTTCGCTTGGTAGCGTTTGCAAAGACTTTGCAAACGCTGCCAACCCAGGTCTCACCGCGTGGAGGTGACTACGTTCGAGACCCGGACAGTGGGGATTGTCCACTGCCCCCTTCCCTATTAAATTGCCACCCTATTGGGACGTGGGTTTCGGCTTTCATCCCACCGAGAGAAACAGTTCTTCATCCCCTGCAACAAAAAGTATTGCATCCTCGTCTACCTCCGCAGCAATCCCTTCGAGTATACAGTTGCTTTATTAACATTCTGAGCATTTCCGATTCATGAAACAATGATTCATCTTCTCCCGAAAGTCAAAGTCAAGCCCGATTGAGTTCTCATTCGTTTCCTGACAGTCGATCTCTTTGGAGTCGTCTATTGCCCGCCGAAAGTCGACGCCTGTTGATTCGTCGTTCGCCTGTCAAAAGTTGATACCTGTTCCGTCCTCTGAACTGGATCCACTTGGTACAGGAAGACACTTGATACGACTTTAATTTCACAAAACGCGCAATTATCTTAGCAGGAACTAGGGCGATGCGACCTGTACAACACGGCTGCCAGAGCAGATTTCAGGGTGTCAGGGAGATTTACCTGCTGTTAATCACACATCGTAGAAGGGACAGGTAACCTCCCCGTCACCCTTAGCAACGCGTTTACCTTCGCTGTGGTAGGCGTGCCCTCCCGTGCTCGCAGAACGCGGAGGCAGCGGGGAAATACCCTACACGTGTCTCTGTCACCAATGAAACGGCTATCCTTACTACACAGATGTAATGTTTCATTGCTTGTGTTTTCCGCGAATTGATCCCCTCCGCTTTGACCCAGTTCCCTAAGAGAATAACCCCGAGTTACGGGTTAATGAACTGTGTACTTGATGAATGATCAAAAGTTTGAAACACGTCGATTTTAATGCACGTGATTTACAGTTCAGAAAAATGGCACCGACTTGTTCATCTGCGATTATCCATATTGAAAGTACGACAACATCACTCAAAATTAAAATCCATTTAAAAAATAAACCAGTTTAGCCTTCAACGTCTACCGATAAAAGAAAATTACATATTAAATATTTTTTTTAAATATCTGTCATACATTTAATAAAAATCATTGTATCGCGAGCTCCGATTTT